GGTGTGAAGCTTGGGTTGTGAATGCAGCAGCGAGGAGGCAGTTGGAGGCAGTGGAGATGTCCTGTCTAAGGGCAATGTGGTGTAAATATTATGCAGAAAATTCGGAGTTTTGGAAAATTTGGAGAAGGTGTGGAGTTAATAAAAATATTAGTCAGAGGGCTGAAGAGGGGTTGTTGAGGTGGTTTGGTCATTTAGAGAGAATGGATCAAAGTAGAATGACATGGAGAGTATTTAAATCTGTAGGGGAAGGAAGGCGGGGTAGGGGTCATCCTCGAAAAGGTTAGTAGGAAGGGGTAAGGGAGGTTTTGTGGGTGAGGGGCTTTAACTTCCAGCAGGCGTGCGTGAGCGTGTTCGATAGGAGTGAATGGAGACAAATGGTATTTGGGACCTGATGATCTGTTGGAGTGTGAGCAGGGTAATATTTAGTGAGGGGATTCAGGGAAACCGGTTATTTTAATATAGCCGGACTTGAGTCCTGGAAATGGGAAGTACAATGCCTGCACTTTAAAGGAGGGTTTCGGGATATTGGCAGTTTGGAAGTATATGTTGTGTATCTTTATACGTATATGCTTCTAAGCTGTTGTGTTCTGAGCACCTCTGCAAAAACAGTGATTGTGTGTGACTGAGGTGAAAGAGTTTAATGATGATGAAAGTATTCTTTTTGGGGATTTTCTTTTTGGGTCACCCTGCCTCAGTGGGAGATGGCCGACTTGTTAAAAAAAAAACAATTAATGTATGAGAAATAGGATAAATCTTTGATAATTAATGCAAAATGGAGGGCAGATGTAATATAGAGGCCTGAGAACATAATGAACAGATGAAATGTTACTTTAGTGCCTGGAATGTGTACAGTGTTTATTTTGGACTTTGTTTTTTAACTGGAATTTGTCTATTTCTGCCACATGAGATAATTGTGAGCTTGCAAAGGTAGTCTCCCTCTGTTAATATGATTTTCTGTATACTGTACTCTATTTTATTAGTATTTAATTCATTTATTAGGGTCTTGTTAGCTATTCCACTCGCTGATATGTGAAGATTTAAAAAAATAAAAATGTTCTAAAATGCTATAGGTAGTAGGTTGGTAGACAGCAACCACCCAGGGAAGTACTACCGTCCTGCCAGATGACTGTGAAACAGAAACCTGTAACTGTTTTGCATGATGGTAGGATTGCTGGTTTTCTTTTTCTGTCTCATAAACACGCTAGATAACAGGGATATCTTGCTACTCCAACTTACACTTTGGTCACACTTCACAGACATGCACATGCATATACAGTGGACCCCCGGTTAACGATATTTTTTCACTCCAGAAGTATGTTCAGGTGCCAGTACTGACCGAATTTGTTCCCATAAGGAATATTCTGAAGTAGATTAGTCCATTTCAGACCCCCAAACATACACGTGCAAACGCACTTAAATAAATACACTTACATAATTGGTCGCATTCGGAGGTGATTGTTATGTGGGGGTCCACTGTATATATACATACATCTAGGTTTTTCTCCTTTTTCTACATAGCTCTTGTTCTTGTTTATTTCTTCTATTGTCCATGGGGAAGTGGAAAAGAATCTTTCCTCCGTAAGCCATGCGTGTCATATGAGGCGACTAAAATGCCGGGAGCAATGGGCTAGTAACCCCTTCTCCTGTAGACATTTACTAAAAAAGAGAAGAAGAAAAACTTTATAAAACTGGGATGCTTGAATGTGCGTGGATGTAGTGCAGATGACAAGAAACAGATGATTGCTGATGTTATGAATAAAAAGAAGTTGGATGCCCTGGCCCTAAGCGAAACAAAGTGAAGGGGGTAGGGGGGGGTTTCGGTGGGGGGGGAAATAAAGGGATTAAATCTGGGTATCTGGGGGTTGAAAAAAGGGAAGGGGGTAGCAGAATTTTGAATGCTTTTTATGGAAGGAGAAAAGAGAATATGAATGTGTAAAATTAAAGAATTATGGGGATTAAAGAAAAGGTTGGATGCGGAAGTGGGTCATAATAAGCGTGTATGACCTGGAGAAGGAGGAAGCAGAGGAGAGAGAGAGATTTTGGGAGTGATAGGAATGTATGGGGCCCCTTTAAACCCCAAGTGGAGAGTAATTGTGGTGGGGGACCTGAATGCTAAAGTGGGAAAAAACTTTTAGAGAGGGTGTGGTAGGTAAGTTTGGGGTCCCAGGTGTAAATATAATGGGACCCCTTTGTTGAATTTTGTATAAAAAAGGGGTTTTTAGTTTGGTAATACTATTTTTAAGAAAAGAGGATAAATAAGTACACAAGTATGATGAGGGGGGAAATGACAGAGTTGTTGGATTATGTATTGGTAGATAAAAGGGACTGTTGAGTGACTTCGGGTGTCATGTTTATAGAGGGGGCCACAGATATATCAGATCCTTTTGGGGTTGTAGTACATGAGAGTAAAAGGTAGATGGGAACAAGGAGTTTAAAAGCATCGGGGAAGGAAGGGAAGGTTTATAAACTAAAAGAGGAGGCGTTAGGGAAAGATTAAACAGTTTTGGGGTAGATGGGCAAATGAGGGGGCTGGGGCAATGGGGTTGAAGAGGTTATGGGGGGTTAGGTTTAAAAAGTGTGTTAGATTTTTCAGCAGAAGTTTTGGTTACAGAAAAATGGGGGGGAGGGAGGGAAAGCGATTTGGGGGAATGATGATGTAAAGAGAGTAGTAAGGGGAAAAAGTTGCATATGAGAAGTTTTTACAAAGTAGAAGTGATGCAAGGGGGGAAGAGTATATGGAGAAAAGAGAGAGGTTAAGAAGTGGTGAAGCAAAGTAAAAAGAGGCAAAGAGGTGTGTGAGATGTTATCAACAAAATTTGTTGAAAATAAGAAAATTTTGGAGTGAGATAACAAAATTAAGGAAGCTGAAACAAAAAGGATTTGTCAGTTAAAAAAAAGGAGAGGAGAGTTTTAAATGGGGGGAAAAGGATTGGAAGTGGAGGGAATATTTTTGGGAAATTTTTAAAAGTGATGAAGATAGGGAAGCTGTGATTTGTGTTAGGGCAAGGAGGTCTTCGTAGGAGGAGGAAAAAAGCCCGTTGTGAGTGTGGGGGAAGTTCGTTTTAGGCAGTAGGTAAAATGAAAGGGGGTTTAAAGGGAGCCGGGATTGTGGGATAAAAATAGAAAATTTAAAAGCAGGTGGGGGATATAGTTTTGGAGTGGTTGGGGCAATTATTTTTTAAAAAAAGTATGGAAAGGGTAAGGTACCTAGGGATTGGCAGAGAGCATGCATGGGTTTCCCTTTTTATAAAGGCAAAAAAGGGGGCAAAGAGAGTGCAAATTTTAGGGGGATAAGTTGTTGAGTATACCTGGTAAAGGTATGGTAGAGTTTGATTGAAGAATTAAGAGTAAGACGGAGAATAGGATAGCAGAAGAACAAGGAGGCTTTAGGAAAAAATAGGGGGTGTGTGGACAGGTTTTTACAGTGAAAAAATATAGTGAACAGAATTTAGTAAGGCTTTAAAAAAGTCTTTGTGGCATTATGGATTTGGAAAAAGGCATTTTTGACGGGGGGATTTGGGGGGGCAAAGTGGCGATGTTTTAGGTGTATGGTTTTAGGGGTAGGTTTGAAAGCAGTGAAGGTTTTTATGAGGATAGTGAGGCTCAAGTTAGGTATGTGGAAAAAGGGAAAATTTCTTCCCCGTAAAAGTAGGCCTTAGACAAAGATGTGTTTATTCAGTGGTTGTTTAATATTTTATAGGGGGTTTAAGAGAAATAAATGCGAGGGTCTTGACAAGAGGGTGGAGTTAAAAAGATAAAGAATACACATAAAGTGGGAGTTTTCACAGTTGCTCTTTGTGATGCACTGTGCTTTGGGAGATTCTGAAAAAGAAGTTGCAGAGATTGGGGGATGAATTTTGGTAGGGTATGCAAAAGAAGAAAAAAAAAGTGAATACAGGAAAAAAGGGAAGGGTTTTTGGATAACAAAAAAATTTGGTGATGAAAGATTGGATATCAGATTGGAGGGAGAGAGTATGGAGGAGGTGAATGTATTCAGATACTTGGGAGTGGACGTGTCAGCGGATGGGTCTATGAAGGATGAGGTGAATCATAGAATTGATGAGGGGAAAAGGGTGAGTGGTGCACTTAGGAGTCTGTGGAGACAAAGAACTTTGTCCTTGGAGGCAAAGAGGGGAATGTATGAGAGTATAGTTTTACCAACGCTCTTATATGGGTATGAAGCATGGGTGATGAATGTTGCAGCGAGGAGAAGGCTGGAGGCAGTGGAGATGTCATGTCTGAGGGCAATGTGTGGTGTGAATATAATGCAGAGAATTCGTAGTTTGGAAGTTAGGAGGAGGTGCGGGATTACCAAAACTGTTGTCCAGAGGGCTGAGGAAGGGTTGTTGAGGTGGTTCGGACATGTAGAGAGAATGGCGAGAAAAAAGAATGACTCAGAGTGTATCAGTCTGTAGTGGAAGGAAGGCGGGGTAGGGGTCGGCCTAGGAAAGGTTGGAGGGAGGGGGTAAAGGAGGTTTTGTGTGCGAGGGGCTTGGACTTCCAGCAGGCATGCGTGAGCGTGTTTGATAGGAGTGAATGGAGACGAATGGTTTTTAATACTTGACGTGCTGTTGGAGTGTGAGCAAAGTAACATTTATGAAGGGGTTCAGGGAAACCGGCAGGCCGGACTTGAGTCCTGGAGATGGGAAGTACAGTGCCTGCACTCTGAAGGAGGGGTGTTAATGTTGCAGTTTAAAAACTGTAGTGTAAAGCACCCTTCTGGCAGGTAGTGATGGAGTGAATGATGGTGAAAGTTTTTCTTTTTCGGGCCACCCTGCCTTGGTGGGAATCGGCCAGTGTGATAATATTATAATAAAATACTTGCTTGAGTGAAGGTGTATCATATACTAGATGACTTTACATCTTTTTAGTTCTTTAATGAAAGTTGAGTCCAGTAATACAGGCACTAATGTTATATGCTACACAATCATCTTGCATAAAACAGTGTTACTTCATGAATGCCAGGAATGGAAATAAAAATATTTGCATTTAACTTGCAGGTAATGGAAAAGTTGCGAGCAGCCATTCTGCCAGAGTTGTTTTCAGTGATCAAGGTGACAAAAAGCACATTGGAATTCCTGAGATTTGATGCTGAAATTGAAAATAAGAAGAACCTTACACAGGTTATAAGTAAAATTGATCAAAAGGTATGTGTGTATTTTTTTAGGTTAGATATAAGTTACTGTTATGAGAAAGGTGGGCTAGAGATATTATAGGTAATAAGGAGTAGGTTGAAAAGTTATGGGGTAAATTTAAGAAAGCAGTATTAGAGTGTACAACAGAAGTTTGTGGATATAGGAGGGTGGGTTAAAGGGGAAATAGGAATGATT